ATTCCATAGACAGCATGCTGGCTGGGGAATTCTGGGAGTTGAAGTCCACACATCTTAAAGTTGCCAAGGTTGAGAAACACTGGGTTAAGGTGCTGGCCTAGAAGCCAGGAGACTGAGTTCTAGGCCTCCCTTAGGCATGAAAGCCGGCTGGGTGACTGGGCCAGTTGTTTGCTCTCTCAGTCCAATCCACCTCACAGGGTAGTTGTTGTGGGGAAAAAAGGACTATTAAGTATGTTCACTGCCTTGAGTTACATATTAGAAGGGAGGGGGGAATAAGAAGGATAGAATGTAACACAGGCCGTATTGGTATGAGTAAACCACGGACTAGCTAACCTAGTATGACATGTAAAAACCTGTCCCATTTGAGAGTCCCAAGTATTTAAAAATGTTAATTTAACATCAACAGATATCTATTCAGACCCACTTTCGCTGGCTGAGTTTGTGCAATACCATAGCCGCAAATTAGCACAGTAATTGTAATACTGAATGAAAGCACTACGCATGTAAATAGCAAATACAATGTATATTTATTTTTTAATAATAAGTATTATTATTCCAAGCCCATGTAAAATCACCGGTCACCACTCTCACCCTGTCAAAACGAACAACGCAATTTCCTAGCTTTGAGGATGTCACGAAGTCCTTGTCCGAGTAATGCCTTATCCTGCTCTTAACACAAGCCCACAATCTGTTTTTTCTGAAAAACTTCCAGTGACTTGAACAGCCCGGCACCCAAGAGAGCGTGTGGATGTGAGCAAGATTTCCGCATCTTGCCACTCGTGAGCAAAGACCGGTGCGCAGGGTCCGGAAGGAGCTCTCACTTCATCCATAAGCCATAAATGATACGTTGCTCTCCTAACCCTACTTCGAGGGTGGCGATCCCCAAATGCCACGGCCTACAACTCCCATCGCCTCTCATCAGTGGCTGGGGCGGAGGAACAACGATGCCTGCAAGACGTTTCCCTCCTCCGCTCCCAACTGGAGAGCCAGGAAGAAAAGGGCTAAAAAGTGGGGAGCCTTTCCCTTTAAGAGGCCGGGTTCCCACGATTTGACGTCAGGGTGTTTCTGCACCACAGCCGGCATCTGATAACCCGTCGAGGAAGGTGGGGGTGAGAGAGGAGGTGAGGGCGGCTGAGCAGAGATCAAGAAGCATCCCGGCCGCCCAGAGCTCCGACGGCTGACCTCCTCCTCCCGCAGCAGCGATGTCCGTGGCGGGCTTGAAGAAGCAGTTCCACAAAGCCACGCAGGTAGGGCGTCGGAACTGGGGCCTCTCGGAGGAGATTCCGAGCGGGGGATGCGCGTTGACTCTTCCCCGCTGACCTGCTTTCCCGGGCTGGAGCAAGGAGCCATGGGGGCCTCTAGGGGGCGCTGGGCTTTGCCTGGCGCGCCCCGGCCCCCTGCG